CAATATTATTCACGCCGCACCCGATGGCGGTATGTATCATCCACCCAACACGAGGCATCTACTTCGAAGGGCGTAGACATTTCACAATCGTGTGTCGTTTCACAATCGTGTGAACCCGCCGCTTCAGGTTTTGACAGAGTGGGACCAAAGCCGCAACCTCGAACACGACGTCTGCTTGTTGTACTTCGTCGAAGGCCGCGCTCCGAGATCTCTCTTTGGTCACGTTGGTCAATGTTACTTTTTCCCGGTCAGTTTTTGCATAGTTCGGGCAAGGGGCGTGCTCTCCTCGCAGAACGGCAAATCAGAACAACCTAGGCTTTCGGCCACGCGCCAGATTGGGCTAGGTGAAAGTCCGAAGTTGGTTGCGGAGAGAATGCACTTACGTGGCATGTTCTGCTTCAGCTACAAATACAATAAGAGGAGCGGCATCGCGTCAACGCAGCTTCTGTTGACCAGACTATCTCTTTTGTTTCACGCCATTCGCGTTGTTCACAGTCGCAACACGGTTTGATCGCCACCTTCGAAGTCCACTCACTCTACAGAGCCACATCACACGGGAATAAACATTTGTAGACAGACTTACCAACAACGCCATTGTACTCGGCTGCTCAGTATCACTTGCTGAAAACATACCGTGGCATACAAATCCAAAGATCTTCATATCGTTTCGATCGGTGGGGCATTTGGGCGTCGATACCGTTCCAATGAGTGAATAACTTCGTCACGACGAACCTATGCTAGTTTTACCAACATCTTTTGAATCGAGACGTCTCGACTGGTACCGAGTCTTGCAAGGCAACCACACATCACAAGCAATTTCATTCTGAGTCCCTGGGTGCCATTCATTCTCTGGCCACACTCACTCCAATACGGGAGTAGTGTTGGCAACGGGTGAGTGTCTTTGGCACGTATGTGTGCCGAGCCTATTTTCTGGGATGCTGTCGTTCGCATTTTGCTTCTCCCGCCGGCTCCCCGTCCATTTCTCTTCCTTTTCTTGGCATCTTCGACGGCAGCGCTTCGGCTGCCTCGCGCATCATGTTCATAAAAATATCGAAGTCGGCCGTGGCTGTCATGATCTTCGCGAACACGGCCTCGTGGGACCACGGGTCCCTCTCGAGCGCCTCACGCAACCTCTCGAAAAAATCTCCCACCGTGAATCCCTGTTCCTCGATAAATGCTGAGCCATCACCAACCAAGAGATGACACGTACAGTAAGGTACGTACAGTCCAAAACAGTTGAGCGCAGATCGGCACCAGCACCGGGTTCACTTGAATCGACCCACACTATATTGACTGATTTGAATCGAAGTGCAAGGGAAAAAGTAGGGCTGACTCCAATCTCCGAGAATCTGCTGGAATCGGCTGTAACCTAGTGCAACGGTGGGGTAGCAATAAAATATGTAAAAGTTGTAGTCAAATGAACTACAGGCTTTCTTGCACCCAATATTTACGGATATATATGTGCATTGGGTATTGTCGCAACATAATGTACTGTGCGAGAGCAACGTTCTGAACCGGAATCGAAATCGTTCATGGGGGGACATGGATTACAGGTCTCGACGTTTCCGTGAAAGGATATTGCGTCAGATTGTTCGTTTCCTTCAGGCGTGAGGATATGTAGTAAGGCAGTTTCCTCTCTCTACCGAAAGACGCGCTCGCCTCTTCTTTTTCGCCTCCGGCGCCTGCTCTCATACGCGAGAGTCGATCCATCCAAGAGTGAAAGCGGAATAATTACCATTGTTCTGTCGATGGTGCTTCGGTGAGGCAGGAACCAGTGGCTGTCGGCAGTGCTTGGTTGACACCACCCCATTGCTCCGTGACAAACACGCAACGGATAGAAGTCCGGATTATGGCAAGCTTACTGGCTAGAAGTTCAGGTTTGTTTCCATGTACAACTATGTGTTCAATTTGTGGAGTAGGACGCATCCAAGAATATATCGCCGTGTTGGTCGCATTGCGACCAGCACTGACCTTCGATTTTCTTCTCGAACAACGCCTGGTAGTCGTCGTACAGATCTGTGTACCTTTGATGAAGTGAAGTTGAAGTTTCAGGTGGTGGTAAGGGGGCACATTTTGAAGCTTCAGGTGTTGCAGAGAAGAACGGTGAAGGTAGAAACCGGCTTATCAGACTGCTAAAAAAGCACTGAGAACCCAATCAGTAATTTATGGAGTAGGGTTTCTGGAGTGGCGCGCATCACAAGTTTTGTCTCCGTACGTGTCATCAACTTTGAAATCATGCTTGGTAAGGTTTTTCAAAAACAACTCACTCGAGCTTCATTTCTTCGACGTCGAGGTCGATCTTGTGTGCGTTTGTTTCAACGAAATCCTCGAAGACTTTAATAAAGTCCTCACTCTCGTAAAAGAGTGACGATACCTGTCAATGAGAGTCGAACAAGCACGGACGATTGTAGCTACATATGCAGGTTCGGTCACGGCGAACAGGCGTCGGCCTGCTACGCGCTACTACAGCGGCAGTACCTTCCTGCTGCTGTAGTTTTTTCGTCTATGAAGGCGAGAAAAGCAGCACCCAACCAAGGAGGTGGTGTGGGTTCTTCATTGATAAGTATAACATTGTGCTCTCCATAAACACAATCATTCGGCAAACCACTCCTCTCTTTCTTGCGCGGGATGCCCCGATTCCCCATATGGATGACCGAGTGGGATACCTCGACACTCAACCGTGGGAGACCCACTTTGCAGATTTATCCCAGGCCCCAAGGCCAGTCACAAATGAGTACATTCAGCCCAAAAAGCTCGAGCGACTCATGAACTTTGAAGAGCCGTACACAAGAGACCCGTATGGCAAGCGGCTCTAGTCCCGGTTCCGATGTGTGACAACCTCTCACAATCTTGTGGCCTCCCAACCTTGGAACTGATTTCTGGGTGTGCACAGCAACAACGCGAACCGCCGATACTGCTGTCCACACACCTTCTTCACGAGATCTTCAAGCCCATCCTCTCTTTTGCTCTCCTCTGGTGTTTTTTCTTCCCATACCGACCCCCCCCACTCGTCAGGCTCTTTACCAGGCTTCATCTTGGTTTCGTCATGGAGCTCCCCGCCCCAAGTGGAGATCTGGCCACACAGCAGTGGCTTCAGGGCCCCAAGGACGCCGCTGCCTCTGTCGTTTCCACGAAGAAAGTACCGATAAAGCAGATCAGTACACGAGTTACTTGGCCTGCCTCAGCAGATGGCGTCCAGGTTTGCTTAGCACATGTATCACAGCTCTTGCGTGTATGTATGGAAGTATGGAAACGGGTCGCCCTCCCACCCTCTCTCTCTTTGTGTCTGTCTGCCTGTCTGCCTGTCTCGTGGAATTACTGCTGTAGGTCCTTGTTGGGACGGGTTCATCTGGCTTGTCGGGGGGAAATTGGCCGTTTCGCCGCTCACGGCACAAAGGAAATTCCGCCGCATCTTCACCTCCCGCGCTCCGCAACCCCCAACGTGTGTGTTCGGGTTCTGGCAACTGGCAACTCTCCATCTCTCTTTTTGCTGTGCTGGGTTGGGTTGGTGACAGCGTGAACAGCTCGTGGCGGCAGTCATCTAGGGCGAAGTTGCAAAGTGCTGGGCTGCCGCGAAGCCGAGGCTGCCAGCAGCACCTACAGTAGTTGGAATCAGGGCGGCCGACGCCAAGGACACGCTCTGCTGAAACAGAGCTTGCCAGCGGGTTGGAGAGCGGAGAGGTGCGGGCGGGCGCTGGAAAGATGCGCAGGGGGGAGGGAGCGGGGGCAGGAGGGACTACGTCTCCTGATGATCCCACGAGAGCCTTCGCGCCCGAAGAGAAGAGCAGGCGACCAAAGGGTGAGAGGAACTGTACGTTGCACGTGAGACAGAACATGGGCGAAAATTCTGCTCGAGACGTTTAGACCACAGGCGCGGCAGTCGGTAGTGCAGTAGCCGGCGAAGCGCTTTGTTCGGTGTGGTCTTGGGGCTTGTGTGGTCACTGCAGTGGTGTCTGCTGGGCGGGCAATGTCTGTTCGGCAGAGATACCGCAATGCCCACATGGTTGCTTCGGAATGTTCTGCACCTTCGATGCAGGGTTGGGTTGTGTCACACCGGGCGACGTGCCGCTGAAGGCGTGAAGGCTCGTTGACGAACTCCAGCAACCACCCTCCTACAGTAGCAGTCTGATGTCGGTGGTTTCCGTTTACTTGCCAAAGGATCTACGACTGTCTAGGGTAGCGGAATACTAGTGTAGCGCAACCTACGTCGCAAAGATGCGGCAGTGGTATCGACGCTTGCCACCACATTGTGGCTACTTGACGCAAGAAACCACCCCCTCTGGACGGGAGTCAACTCTCACGGCGGGTTTCCGGGACCTTCGTCCATCGTTCCCCGAAAGCGTTATATAGCTGTGCGAACCCCTCGGGCAATACGGGTCAAGGTTGTCTTCATCTGTTAGGGGGGGGTGGCGTCCTTGTGCTGAGGTTGCCTGCATGGTACAAGAGTTATTTGAAACTCCGAGGAGGGAATTTAGGCTTTTTTTGGTCTGTTCGGCCATGACCAATAGGGGTCTGCATGTGATCCACACTTAAAACTCGGGACTTCCGCAAAATCTGGCAAAATCGGGGGGTGGGTGGGTGTAGTTTTGATCCCGCTCAACCATCGAGTCAACTTGTTCTGATGATGATGATCTCAACGGCCGCCAGCTTGCCTGTTGTTGTTGTGTACCGTGCAAAGTGCCAAACAAAGCGAGAGAGGAGGCAGATGAGCCAAGTTTTGTAGCTAGGGAAGATGCGATAAGCAGAGGAGGAGAGGCTGTCAGCGGGGTGTCGTTTGTTATCTCGTGGGGCCTCTCTCTCTCTTCTTTTGTTTGTCAACTGCTGTAGGCATAACTGCTGTAGCTGCTGCTGGAGCGGAGACAAAAGAAGAGAAGAGGGAGAGAGGAGGGACGGCGTGAGCGACCTCAGGGGAGATCTGCACAGACAGTAACAGGCGCTTCAACAAAGAGCACGAGAGAGAGCCCACCCACACACAAAATATATAAGGCACCAGCACCAGCACCAGCAGCAGGCACCATCAGACAGAGCACAAAAATCAGTGATGCCCGACAAGCGTGCGTTGCTTGGTTGGGTGTCTGTGATCTGTGATGATGCGGCGGAAGCGAAGAACGTTGAGGGGGGTGCAACAAAATGTTCTCAGCCGCATTGAGCCTCTGCCCCTTTCGGGGCGGAGGCTGAATTTCCCTGGTCACTGAGTTTTTTTTTCACCGTAACGCAACATACCACTCTGGCGTTTAAAACTCAAATTCACCTAATTTGCTGGTCTGCAGAGAAATTTGGGTAAATTTCCGAGTTTTAAATAACTCTACATGTATTTCTCGATCCAAGCATCGGGGAATGGATGCATACAGTACACGTACTTTCAGAAGAAAACATGCATGCGGCGCCCCGGTTGTCTCAGAGACTAAGGCCCTGGAATACAGTACTGGACAGGCGGAAATCCTTTGAACGTGGTCGCTAGAGGACCGGCACTCGTGAACTAGCAGAGACGTGGGCCCGTTTTCCTATGCAACGACCCACCACCACCACTCGTAATTAATGGCGGTGCTACGTATTGCTGGCACCCAAGGCGACGGCATTGGTGTGTATAGGTGTAGGGCATTGCTTGGTGGGTTCCGTAGCTTGGTGGGTTCCGTAGCAATGTGTTTGGGGGGCTGACGAAAGATTTTCTTTGCAAACGAACAAGGCAAAATATTATTACAGGGCTGGTGATGGTTTAGAAGCACATGACAGCCGTGTGGTAGACGCGACAGCACCAGCGGAGTGTCACTGTTGTATTTTTTCCTTTGTTCTACGGACGGAAATCAGACCTCCCCCAGCCGTTTTCGCGTTTGGTAGAATGTCGACTGGTGTACTATTACTCGTTTTTTCACCTGTAGGATTCCTTCACGGCACTCATCGCTAACGCCCAACACAACACGACGGCTGTGGCAACGCGCCTCTTCCCCTTCCCTCTCTAACGCCGCGCAGATACGCCGTTTCGACAACAGAGGGTGACGTCGTTCTTGCCCATCTTGCAGCCGCTGCTGGTGGTGGGGATATTCTTGGCGATAGGGGTGGTGTTCATCCCGCTCGGGAAATGGTTCATCGAAGAGTCTGAAGAGGTGCGGTGCTTTCGCGCGATGCCATTTCAACGGGAGGAAGACGCCGCTGCCGCCTTGCAAAGACATCCTCTCCGACTCTCTACTGTAGCAGCACACGCCGGTGGCAAGTACACACCCCATGCATCCGTGTCGGAAGACGCACCCCGAATAGTGATGCCCTTCCACCAAGAGCATTTTCGGGTTTTGGGGGGGGGTGTCTCTGGCTGGGCAGGCGACCCTGCGAATTCATTCCCATCGTTGTGCAGCGGTAGGCTTGTTAAGGTCGTAACCCGATGCGTTCGGTCCGGCTTGTGTAGAAGGGCGGAGTTTGTACGTGGGGCGTTCGAAAACTGCGAGCAGCGATTCCCTGGCAGAGTGTTTAGGGCCAAGGTGCTGCCATGTTGCCCGGCGCCGTAGGGCGCTGTGCTTGAGGCGCTGTGCTTGAGGCGCTGTGTCTCAGTCAGCGTACATATTCTCCGCCTCCCACGACTATATCGTCTAGCAAACAACAATCGCGGCCGAGAGAGAGGGAGAGAGAGAGAGAGAGAGAGAGAGAGAGAGAGAGAGAGAGAGAGAGAGAAAAAGAGAGGGAGGGAGGGAGTGGGCTGCTGTACTTTGCGGTTACAGTGATGGTCGCCAACCGCAGCCCTGCCTGCAGTTGCGCGTCCGAGCAACGCCTGCTGGAGCGCACGGTAACACTAGTTGGACTCAGATCGCCCGCGAAACAAGCAGTTGAGCAGAAGCGTTGTTGCGCGGTTGCTCTCGGCCTCCGAGTGTTGTGTTTACAGACCGATCGCAGGAACATTTTGGTGTGGTGAGTCCCGCGGGACACGGCCCCAAGCGTCAAAACAACACAACCGAAGCTGGTTCGCTGTTCTTTGGCGCGCCAAAAATTCATACAGGTGGTGGAGTTCAAGCGGAGGTATGACGGCGACAACGTGGACGTGGAGGGATGCAAGATCACGGAGGGTAACCAGGGCACCACGTGCTCGGTCCAGATCGAGGTCGATGAGTGAGTCTCGTGGCAGGACCACCCGCTAGCAACAACCTCGGCCGGGCGTTGGTGCCGTTTCATTTTTGTGATTTCAGTTTTCTCGACCGCGCCATCAGAGTGTGCGTGCGTGCCGCGTCAGGTGGTGCCCCCCCTTCATGCGAACCCCGGCTTTAACGGCTCTGAGTTGAGATGGCGTTGCTGTTGCTACGGTGCAGAACGAGCCTATAGCTCTTTTTTA